GAAATTAGTGTTCGTTGAAATTAGTGGAATGAAAAGCGTTCGTTCTCTATCTCTTTGTGATAGAGACTGGTATCTAGTAAGCATGATAACAAAGGAATTTATATTTGAAAAGCAGCAGCATTTGCATCACAACAAGGTGACCAATAGCCTCATCCCTCTTCAAAGGCTTGGTAAACAAGTAGGCAACTGTAAAATGGACTCTTAGTGAACATTGCCTTTATTCTCAGGACCTTTACATTTAATTCAAGGGTGTCACTGTAAAGAGATACGTCACTCTCAAAATTTAAAGGTTTATTTAGTTTATTTAATCACTCATTGCAAGTTTGAACCTCTTTTTCATCTGTAAGCTGATTTACTTTTATCTGATACAATGAATATATGAAGTTCATATATTTTGAACTGCGGTATTAGATATGTATGATGCACGATCCTCGCAGTAGAGAGCGCTATTTATGCAATAGCTCCCAGTTGGCTTGTTACGGCCTGCTCCCAGTTGGCTTGTTAGCTCAATTGGTAGAGCGCTGCACTAGTATCGTAGAGGTCAGTGGTTCGAATCCCGTACAGGCCTGATTTTTTTCCAGGTCTGATTTTCGCTATTGCATAAATAGCGCTATCTACTGCAAGGATCTTGCATCATAGGTTACTTTTATCTCTTAATTTTGCAGCAGCAGAGATTGTAAATGGAATAAAGTGGACAGCAGCCCTAGAGAGTGTTTTTGAAGAAAACCGACTCAAAGATCCCAGCTTATCTTGGCAGTACTTTGGATCAGATAAAGGATTCATGCGAACTTATCCAGGTATGTATTTCATGTTTCATGAAACACCAAGTTGTCACGATGAAATTTTAACAAGAGAAGATGATTTAGGAATGTGAATGCTGAGTGGTTTATAAAAGTAAAATGATGCTTGCTTGACATTAATTTGTTTCTTGATTCTTATTTGCTCAAAGCTCGACGCTGGGACATTACCAATGCAGATAATGTGGATTTATTTGATGCCAGGAAAAGACCATGGTAAGATGGACTTGCAAAAACACTCTTAGACTAATAAATTCAATTAAATGCACATGACAGTTACTTCAAACTGTACAAAAAACCAATCACCAGTTGTAGTCTAGGACACAAACAAATAATGTACAGTAAAGCTTAAGGTAGCTTAGATAACAAGTCAAGAGCATTGGGAGCCAAAGACAATAAACAAAATGGCAATACAAATGGAAAGTGGACAATATGAATGTAGTGCTTGGCATTCTGGATGCATAGATTGAAATAAACAAGAAGCAGAGTTGATGTGAAGATACAGGGTCACCTGCTAATCACAAGGGGACATCAGAGTACCTGAGTGAGTGTAGTGCTGAAACATTTGTTCTAACGCAGTGCATAGTGCTTTGATGACAGCTAGTAAGGGGACTAATGAAGAATAATGAAATCAACTCAAATCAACAGTAGACAGGTGCAACCTGTTGAAGGTCACAGGA